CTCTTTGTGGGGTTCCTGGGCCAAACTGGGAGAACTGGGGGTACCCCAGGGGCTCCCTGCCTGCACCACCCCCTTCCCAGTATAACCCAGTTTCCTCCAGTAAGAGGATCATCAACCTGGGCCCGGTGCAGACAGGGGCTCCCAGCCCTGACCCGCCCCCAGGTGGGGTSCGCGTGGCCTGCGCCCACTGTGGGGGCCCATTCCTGGTAAGCCACGCCCCTTTCAGGCCCCACCCACCCTCATCACACTCATGTGACCACACCCATGCRTGACCACGCCCCTTCCCTCTCCAGTGGGCGGAGCTTCCCGACCGCTCCCTGGCCCGCTGCCCCCACTGCCGCAAGGTGTAAGTGAGCCCCGGCCCCTTTTGGGGCGTGGTTTTAAGGCCACGCCCCTCCCACGTGAGGGGGCGGTCACTCAGMGGTGACCACGTCCCTCTGGCCACACCCAGGTCAGCGATTGGCCGGCGGTTCCCGCGGCGACGCTGCCTCTGCTGCCTGCTGGGGGCGCTGCTGATGGGCGGGGCCGCGGCAGGACTGGCGGTGAGGGCGGGGCCTGAGGGGGTGTGGCCGGGGGGGGCGGGCTCAGCTGTCCAGGGGGTGTGATATGGGCTTGGGCTTTGAGGAGGGAGGGGCTTAAAGGGGTGGGGTTAAATGGGTCGGACCGAAAGGGAAGTAGGTGGGGGTTTAATAAGAATTATTAAAGTTTAATAAGTATTAAACTTCACTTTTGGGGTGAAGTTTAATAAGGGAGCCATAGTGGGGGTGTGGCCTAAAGGGGTGGAGCCCCGGTATGTTAGGAGCAGCTGTTGACCAGCATGGCTTTGAGAAGGTGGGGCTTAAAGAGGTGTGGTTTGGAGGGTGTGGCACAAGTGGGTGGGGCTTGAAGCAGGCAGGAGAAGTCAGGAGCCCACAGGGTGTGGTCAGAGGGCCAGTGGTGGCCAGTGGCCACATGAGCAGTGGAAGTGACCACGCCYCGTCCCCCGCAGGCCGGGACGTGGTGGCTGTGGCGCCGGGCGCGGTGGGTGCCGGCGGCGTGGGCGGTGCTGGGGGCGGGGGCAGGGGCGTGTCTGCTGCGCGCGGCCTATTGGGGCTGCGTGCGGGTCAGCCAGCCCCTCCCCCCGCGCACCTGACCACGCCCGCCCGGCGAGGACACGCCCACACGGAGAGACCACGCCCACACGGAAACGCTCCCTCGGGGCAGGACGGTGCTGCGGGACTCGCCCCGGCGGCGATGGCGTCGCGCGGCCCCACCGCTCGTTCGCTGTTGAGCAATTCAACCACTCCTGGCCCCGCTCCTTTCCCCCAGCATGGCCTCGCCCCTCCCGCATGCCTTGGGCCCCGCCCACTTGTACATAAGCCCCGCCTCCTGTACAGCCCTATTTATTTAACGGCCATGCCCACCAGAGGGGGCCTTGTATGTAAATAAACCCGATATCAAAGGATTTCCCCCAAAATCTRCTTTTATTAAAATATAATGGGGGGAGGGCAGTCCCTGAGGGGGTGGGGATGCGGGAGGGGTGTGAGAGGGTTGAACCTACGGGGTAAACAAAGGGTRGGAACTGATTTGGGGCTGTTTGGGGGAGTTTTGTGTCTGAGCAGCGACAGCAGCACCTGAGGGGCCCTAATTTGGACCGCTTTGGGGGGGAWTTGGGATAAAACCAAGAGCAAGATGCCACCTTGGCCTCAATGACATCATCCAAACCTGAATTTGGGTGGATTCATGTCAATTTGGGGCTGTTTTGAGCCAATTTTGGGCCGTTTTGGTCAACTTGCGGCCAATCAAGGTAGGCGATGCAACCTYGGCCTCGATAACGTCGTYGTCGCCCAACTTYGAGTCAATTTTGGGATATTTTGGATCAACATACCTGTAATTAAAAGCCGATGCCATCCCGGCCCCGATGACGTCATCAGCGCCCAACTTGGAGCTATTGTGAGGGAATTGAAGGCGATCCCGAGGAGGTGCCGGCCGGAGCCGACCCCCTCAGACGGCCAGCAGGGCGGTGATGGGGCAGTGGTCGCTGCCGGCCACGGCGCTGCGGATCTTGCAGTCGCACAGCGCGTCCAGCAGCCGCCGCGACAGCAYGGCGTAGTCGAGCCGCCAGCCCACGTTGCGCGCCCGCGCGCCGCCCAGGTACGTCCAGAAGGTGAAGGCGCCGCGCGCCTCGGGGTACAGGTGGCGGAAGGAGTCGACGAAGCCGGCGTCCAGCAGGCGGCCGAAGCCCTCGCGCTCCTGCGGCGTGAAGCCGGGGTTGGAGCGGTTGGCGCGCGGGTGGCACAGGTCGATCTCGGCGTGCGCCACGTTGAGGTCGCCGCACAGCAGCACGGGCTTGCGGGCGTCCAGGCGGCGCAGGAAGGCCAGGAAGGCGCTGTCGAAGCGCAGCCGCGGCTCCAGGCGCACCAGGCCCCGGCCGGCGTTGGGGACGTAGGCGCAGACCACGAAGAGGGACGGGAACTCGGCCGTGACCACGCGGCCGTCGGCGTCGTGCTCGGGGTCGCCTGCGGGGGACGCTGCGAGTGACCGGGAGGTGTGGGGAAGGGGCTGAGGGGAACTAGGAATGACTGGGGGAAACTGGGAGGGGACTGGGAGGAACTGGAGCCAGCTGGGAGGGGGTTGGGGGCAACTGGAAGGGACTGGGAGAGGACTGGGAGGGACTGAGGGGAACTGGGAGTGACTGGGAGGGATTGAGGGGGATTCGAAGTGACTGGGAGTGACTGGGGGGAACTGGGAGGGGATTGGGAGGGATTGAGGGGGATTCCAAGTGACTGGGAGGGACTGAGGGGAACTGGGAGGGATTGGGAAGGGATTGAGGGGATTCGAAGTGACTGGGAGTGACTGGGGGGAACTGGGAGGGGACTGGGAAAAATTGGAAGCAACTGCAAGGGACCTGGGAGAGAACTGTAGTGAACTGGGAGGTACTGGGAATAACCCAGAGGCAACTGGGGGAGGACTGGAAATGGACTGGGGGAATTTGTGGTGGTTTTAGGGTATATTTGGGGTTGGTTTTGGGGTGAAGTTTGGAGGTGATTTTCAGGCGGATTTGCGTGGACTTCAGGGGAATTTTGGATTGGTTTCAGCGGGATTGCGAGCCAATGGATTTGGGGTGGTTTTAGGATGATGTGGGGCTCACCAATGCCGTAGGTGACGTTGAGCGGCTCAGTCTTGGCCAGCAGCCCCACGCCGCTGTAGCCCGGCCGGCCCTCGGCGCTGGCCCAGAACTGGTGGGGGAGCCCCGGCAGCGCCCGGATTTCGGGAGGCACGGCTGACACCCCACACTTGGTCTCCTGCAGGCACAGCACATCCGGGGCCTCCTCCTGCACCCACTGCAGGGAGCCCCAAATCAGACCAGGAATCCCCAAATTGGGCTACGTTGTACTGTGCGGGCACTAAAATTGTGCTGGGAACCCCAAACCACACAAGGAGCAACCAAAAATGTCCAGGGGAACCCTAAAATTATACTGTGGACCACTCAAAATGAACAAGGGATGCCTCCAAAATTTATTGGGACCCCTCCCTCCCAGATATATGGGGACCCCACCCCAGCCCCCTCAAAAGCTCAGACCCCAATAAGCCCCTTCCCCACTCACCCAGCCCCACCCAGCCCCGCCCAGCCTCACCTGGGGCCCGCCTTTGCGCACCCAGGCTCGCAGCCCGTCCACGTTCCACGAGGTCACCTTGAGCGTCCAGCGGCGTCCGTCGGCCGTGGCCTCGCGGGTGGGGGGGTCCTCATAGGACGGGGCTGGCGCTGCCTTGGCCACCTTGGCTGCCTTGGCAGGGCCGGGCCCTGTGGGGGACGGGTCACTGGGATGCGCTGGGAGCACTGGGAGGGAGCTGGTGGGGAATGGGGCAGGGACTGGAGTGGACTGGGAGGCGCTGCTTGGCATGGACTGGGTGATACTGGGTTGTACTGGGTCGTACTGCGTTACACGGGGTTATACAGGGTTCCAGTGGTTTACCCTGGGTTACACAGCGCTACATTGAATTACACTGGGCTGCCAAAGCTTGCACCGGGTCTTGCTGGGTGTACTGGAGTGTTACAGCGGTCCATACTGGTCCATACTGGTCACACTGGTCACTCACCGGCCTCGTCCCCGCTGCCGCTCTCCTCCTTCTTCTTCCCGCGCTTCGGCATGGCGCTGGCCCCGCCCCGGACACGCCCCCTCCGCCGCTGGCTCCGCCCCTCAGGCCTCAAGCTCCGCCCCTGCACCGGGGAGCGAGGCCGCCATCAGCGCGGACAATCAGAGCGCAGCTCAGCCAATCAGAGCCTTGGACCCGCCCACCCGCCGCGGCTCAGCGAATCAGAGCGCACCTCACGCTTAAGCCCCGCCACCCCGCCGCATCTCAGCCAATCAGAGTGCGCCTCCCCCACGCCGCGACAGCCAATCAGCGCTCGCCGCCGCCACGTGCGGTGGCCGGGGCCAGAAGCGGGATCGGAACCGGGGCTGGAACCGGG